AGATTAACCAATTAGAAAATCAGAAAACCATAACCAAAATAAACCAAACAAAAAGCTGGTTCTTTGAAAAAATAAACAAAATTGATGGCCCGTTGGCAAGATTAATTAAAAAAAGAAGAGAGGAAACCCATATTAATAGGATTAGGGATGCCACGGGAAACATCACAACACGTACCCAAGATATCCAAACAATTCTAACAGACTACTTTCAAAAGCTATACTCTCTAAAGGAAGAAAATCTGGCAGAAATGGATGCATTCTTAGAGAAATACAAGTTACCCACACTGAGCAAAGAAGAAGTTAACCAATTAAATAAGCCAATATCCTATAATGAGATACAGGAAGCTATCAAAAGTCTTCCAACAAAAAAAAGCCCAGGACCAGATGGATTCACAGCAGAATTCTATAAGACCTTTAAAGAAGAACTAATACCCATACTCCTCAAGCTCTTCAGAGAAACAGAGAAGGAGGGAGCTATCCCAAACTCATTCTACGAAGCCAATATCACACTCATCCCCAAACCAGGCAAAGACCCAACCAAAAAGGAGAATTACAGGCCAATTTCCTTGATGAACACAGATGCAAAGATCCTTAACAAGATTCTAGCTAACAGAATCCAGAAACACATAAAAAAAATAATACACTATGATCAGGTAGGCTTCATCCCAGAGACACAGGGATGGTTTAACATACGTAAGTCAATAAATGTAATCCAGCATATCAACAGAGCCAAGGTCAAGAATCACATGATTATCGCCACAGATGCAGAAAAGGCCTTTGATAAAATTCAACATTCATTCATGCTAAAAGCTCTGGAGAAAATAGGAATAGAAGGAACATTTCTAAAAACAATAAAAGCCATTTATGACAGACCAATAGCCAATATTATACTTAATGGGGAAAAGCTACAACCAATCCTCCTAAAAACAGGAACAAGGCAAGGATGCCCACTGTCTCCACTCCTCTTCAACATAGTCCTAGAACCCTTAGCCAGGGCAATAAGGCAAGAAAAAGACATTAAAGGGATCCGCATAGGGAAAGAAGAAGTTAAACTATCCCTTTTTGCAGATGACATGATACTATACCTCCACGATCCCAAAAACTCCATCCCCAAACTTTTAGAAATCATAAGTCACTTCGGCAAAATAGCAGGATACAAAATAAACCCACAAAAATCAGTTGCCTTCCTATACACTGATAACGCACAGGAAGAGAGGGAAATAAAGGGAGCAACCCCATTCACAATAACCTCCCAAAAAATAAAATATTTAGGAATTAACCTAACCAAAGATGTAAAAGAACTATTTAATGAGAACTATAAAAAGTTAAAGAAAGAAATTGCAGAAGACACTAGGAAATGGAAAGACCTCCCATGCTCCTGGATAGGCCGACTTAATATAGTAAAGATGGTGATACTTCCAAAACTAATATACAAATTCAATGCAATTCCTATTAAAATCCCAATGACGTACATCACTGAAATACAGAAAACAGTCCAAAAATTTATATGGAACAACAAAAGACCTAGAATAGCCAAAACAATTCTAGGGGATAAAGACAATATGGGAGGGCTATCCATGCCGAACTTCAAACTCTACTACAGAGCTATAATAACAAAGACAGCATGGTACTGGCACAAAAACAGACCCGAAGACCAATGGAACAGAATAGAAGATCCAGATATAAATCCACAGGCCTACAGCCAGCTGATATTCGACAAAGGAGCCAAAGACATACAATGGAAGAAACACAGCCTCTTCAACCGCTGGTGCTGGGAAAACTGGGCAGCCACATGCAGAAAACTAAAAGTGGACCCCAGCCTATCACCATGCACCAACATCAACTCAAAATGGATTAAAGACCTTAACATTAAACCTGAATCTTTGAAACTACTGCAGGACAGAGTAGGAGAGACACTTGAACTAATAGGCACAGGAAGGAACTTCCTGAACAGAGTCCCAGGGTCACAACAAGTTGGAGAGAGACTCGACAAATGGGACTACCTTAAAATAAAAAGCTTCTGCACAGCTAAATCTATCGCAACTAAGCTAGAAAGACAACCAACTAATTGGGAAAAAATATTTACCAGCAATATATCAGACAAGGGGTTAACATCCTGTATATACAGGGAACTCAAGAAACTAATCCCTCCCAAACCTAACAAACCAATTACTAAACGGGCAAGGGAACTAAAGAGGGACTTCTCAAATGAAGAAATAAAAATGGCAAAGAAACACATGAGGAAATGTTCATCATCCCTGGTGGTGAAGGAAATGCAAATAAAGACAACCCTGAGATACCACCTTACCCCAGTCAGAATGTCCCACATCCACAAATCAGCCAACGACAAATGCTGGAGGGGATGTGGAGAAAGAGGAACCCTATTACACTGCTGGTGGGAATGTACACTTATACAACCACTTTGGAAAGCAGTCTGGAGGGTCCTTAGAAAGCTAAAGATTGACCTCCCTTACGACCCAGTCATACCACTTCTAGGCATCTACCCTGAACAACAGGAACCAATATACAAGGACACGTGTACCTCCATGTTTATTGCAGCACTGTTCGCAATAGCTAGGATATGGAAACAACCTAGATGCCCCACCACAGATGAATGGATCCAAAAATTGTGGTATCTATACACAATGGAATATTATGCAGCCATTAGAAATGACAAAATAATGGCATTTGCAGGGAAATGGATGGAGCTAGAAGGAATCATGTTGAGCGAGGTAAGCCAAGAACGAAGAGACAAACGGTACATGGTCTCCCTGATAAGTGGATGCTAAATCCAAAAGGTTAGGTGATACGACAAAACTAACAGGACTTAAGAAACAAAGAACTCCCGCTCATCTGGTTGAACCACTACTAAATATCCCCATGCTGCTGATCACAAACATGGTATATAACATGTGAACACTGTTATATATTACAGACTGTGGTAGACAATTTGCTCCAGGGAAGTTAGAATGAACTTGTGACTTTGAAATTATGTAATCATTTAATCACAATCAAAAAAAAAGAACCTCAGGGAAGGGAGGGAGGGAGGGGATGGTAGGGGGAAAACAATGGAGGGGGTAACCATGTTCAAGAGGAAGTGTACTCATTACCTCACTCATGTAACTGTAACCCTCTGTATAGTAGCTTTACAATAAAATAAAATTTAAAAAAAAAAAAAACTGACTATGACAATGGTCACCCAACTCTGAATACACTAAAGAGTATAGTCCTGGCTCATAAAATGGGCATAATGAGAAGACAAGGATTCTTTAAAAAACCAAAACAGACAACTGTTAGAACAGGCTGATTTCTGGTGTAGCATGTGAGCCGTTGGCACGTCAACAGGAAGGAGGCAGAGGCCCAGACCCACAAGGAGCCAAAAGGACCAGAGGCAGGCAGCTACGTAGGGATGATGGGCCAATGAGTCAAGTATGGGTTGTGCTGAGCTCTGATGAATAGTGTATTAGTAAACCTTGCTTTGTTTAATCCCTGACTCTTGCTGATGTTGCTATTCAATATATGGATTTGAATAGTGGGGACTTGAGAAAAGCTAGTGTTTATTTTCTTCAGTTTACATATGCAGTTCTGATGTTTGTAAGCTACTGGAGATTTTCTTTTACTAATTCCAGATACTCAGACAGTAAAATACCAAAAATGAAATTCCTTCAAAAAAGCATTTGTACTGCTAGAGATTATCATGTTGAGGGAGATAATATAAGCTCAGAAAACCAAATATGACATGAGTTCACTCATCTGTGGAATCTAGAGCTAAAAGATACATCCTACTCATCACATATACCCCATGATTGTAACTGTGGGATTGTTTGAGTGGATGAGGAGAAAGAGGAGCTGGAAAGAGAATGATGGAAGCCAAATAATACTGGAATACATCTATGCCATCTATATTTAGGTGGCATGAGGAATCTCACTGAAAGCTATTGTAGAATAGCAAGAATAGGAAGAATGAGGACAGAGCGTGTGTGTGTGTGTGTGTGTGTGTGTGTGTGAAGTATTGCTGTGAAACGCTTTTGTACCATTAATTGTCACTAAAAAATGGAAAACATTTAAGTATAGCAGGATCTGTTGTGAGGAGGGAGGAGGCACCAGCAGGAAGGGGAGGGCCAACCTAAAGGGTAAATAAGGGAGATATGGTTGAAGTATTTTTTTATGCATGTATAAAAACCTGGACCTGCTGAAATTGTGTAGGTGGGGGGAATGGGACAGGGAGTCACATAGTGGGTGAGTTTGATCAAGGGATTTTGTATGTCTGTAGGGAAGTATCACAACAAAGCCTCCCTTATGCAACTGATACCAAAAACAAAACAAACTGACTAAAACCTGGGCTGGGGGGCTGGGAAGGTGGCTCAGTGGTAGAGCACTTGCCTTGCATGCCTGAGGCCCTGGGTTCAGTTCCTCAGCACCACATAAGCAAAAAGAAAAAAGCCGGAAGTGGCGCTGTGGCTCAAGTGGTAGAGCGCTAGCCTTGAGCTGAAGAGCTGAGGGACAGCGCCCAGGCCCAGAGTTCAGGCCCCATGACCGGACCCCCCCCAAAAAAACAACACACAAAATAAACCCTGGGCTGGGAAAGTGGCTTAGTGGTAGAGTGCTTGCCTAACATGCATGATGCCCTGGGTTCAATTCCTCAGTATCACATAAACAGAAAAAGCCAGAGGTAGCACAGAAGCTCAAGTGGTAGAGTGCTATCCGTGAGCACAGAGAGGCTCAGGGACAGTGCCCAGGCCCTGGGTTCAAGTCCCAGGACTGGCCAACCCCCCCCACCCCCAACAAACCAAATAACAACAACAACAGCAACAACAAAAACCTACAGCAACCACTGAAGACAAAAAAAGAAGGTAAGGGAAGAAGCTGCAAATCCTGATTTATTTTTCTCTGTAATTTTCATTTTCACATTGCCCAAAATATTTCAAACTCAAACAGCTTCTGCAGCATGGTTTTAAAAAACATTAAGTTTTGAAAAGCCAGTGATTCCCAATTCTTACCAGGTCTTCTCTCAAATGCAGAGCTGATTAAGAGCAGCGGTGTGCTGACTTCTTCTGTGGAAGAGGCCCCATGGCTCCCTGTCTCAGACATGCCGTGGTCACCACAGAGAACCAGTAAGTTAGGTGACAGAGTCTCTCTCTCCTGGAAGGCAAAGGAGAACCTGTTGGCTATACTAGTGTGCACATCATCTTAAGATCAGACCCTATCACAGGTGAAAAAAGAATTGTGCATAGTTCAGACACAGCAGGGCTATGTTCTGGCCTCTGAGAACAGGGGATTTATCACTTCTAGGCTATGAGAGTTTGAGCCCAAGTCTTCTAGGCTCATCTTTCTCATCTGTTGATGGACATACTATAGGAATCTATCTTGCAGGATTATTTGAGAATAAAACAGTACTCAGATAGGGACTTGAGTTATCTACAAGGCTTCTCTGCCCAGACCTCCGCTGACCTGTTGTACCAGGTGGGCTCCACCTGACCCTTGCTGCTTCGAGTCTGTTCACACTGTACATGTCCTCCAAGAAGACTGCTCTAAATATGGCCTCTTTGGAACAGAGGTGTTGCTTCCTCCTGCCCATGTTTTTCTGTGGCACCAACAGCTTTTCGGTATACTTGAGTTCTTGCTTACTGTGTTTTTATTTGCCTCTTCTGGTAAGAACATAAACTCTAGGAGAGACTGTTTGCCTAAGAACAGTAATCTACAAGGTACCCCCGGGGCTGCATGGAAAATGGAGGGAGTCCATGTGGCAACACCTGTAGCTGAAGCATGGCTGGCAGACTGATAGCAGAAGTGGTGCTCGTTCAGGCAGTTCCTGTCCTCTTAGGAAATATCGACAACATGAAACTCTTGTCACAATGCAACACATCCCAGTGAGCCTCACCTTTGAGAGTAGTGAGGTGTGAATCTTCATCAGGATGCTGTCCATTTCGCTAAGCTTGTGTCCAATCAGGGGGCTGTTGGGCCCAGAAATGTGGCCAATATGGTCTAGTCCCAGGTAGTGGAGGATTAAGATGTCCCAGTCTCCTCTTTTTAATACTCTATCCAAATGCCTTGTGACATTATTATCCACCTTGGCAGAAGAAAAGTACATATAGATAGCATGTCCAATTTTCTCTAGCTCTTTACTCCCAAGAAAGAGCAACAGCCAAATCTAGGAGTTTATCTTAGATAACAGGACTCACAGGAACTGAAAATACGAAACAGCCAAACCAAAGCAAACAAGGAAAACAAACAGCAAAAATCCTGTTACTAAAAATCAATAAATAAATGAACATTATAGTGTTAAGATTATGCAATTTCCCCCTGCTGGTACAGGGGACTGAACTTAGGGTCTCATGTTTCACTCAGCTTTTTTGCTCATGGTTGGTGTTCTGGTACTGGAGCCATACCTCCAGTCCACTGTTCTGCTGGCTAACTGGACATGCAGACTTTTCTTCCCCAGCCTAGCTTTCAACCACAATCTTTCAGGTCTTAGCTTCCTCAGTAGCTAAGATTACAGGTGTGAGCCACCATTGTGTGGCTTAGATTAAGCTTTTATGCCTAGTATTTTGTGGGGTTTTTTGGTTATTTTTTCAAATGTCTCTATTTTGTAGACATTACACATATATAATTAAAATAAGTAAGGGCTGTTCTGACAAGAAGTTCTTTTCTGTGAAATCACTACTGGGCTTAACTAAATGAGCAACTTAAACAGGCCTAAGTTTCTGTCAGGTAATAAAGGGCAAAGGACAGCACAGTGGCCAGAGTTAGGCTAACCAGCAGTCCTACAAAAAGTATTCTTTGAGGCAAGAAACAACACTCATAAATTCTTTTATATCTGAAAAGAATGTCATGGAGACACCATCAGTTAAGCATCTTTCCACAGGGCCAGCATCCTGCTCAGCTGCAGACCTCACTGTCACAGCTACTCTGTTGTAGTGCCCTTCCTGAATCTCTTGTGACCTCAGTGAGTGCCAATATGCTTTGCACTGTGGGACCTGCAGATCTCCACTCACACATGCATCAAGGTTAATGACTCCATTTGTAAGCGATTATGTGTATAAATAACTTCTATAGTCTCTCTATACTATTCTATAAATTAATGACACACAAATAACAGCATTGCTTCTCAGCAGGAAATGGCAGTGCTAGGCTCTACTCAGGGTAACATATTTCTCTATTTTGAAGACTGACCTCAGTGTAATCTGACACAAAGAATGAGGTTGTACCATCGTATTCCATAAAGTGCTTTGGGAATAATTTAACCCATGTTTCATCTCCATAAAAGATTATTCTCTTCCCAGCAGCTTTTGCCTGTCTTATCACATTGTCTTCTAGCAACGCAGGAGAATTGAGGTTCCTGATGACATCAACAAAACCAGGGAGGCTCCCCGTCATCAACGCCTGCAGGAAGAAACATTCATGTTAGAACATGGATCAAACAATGCAATATGGGAAGCAGGAAGATCATTTGGCAGCTGAAACAGGCAGGCACAGAACTAGGGCCTGACCAGTACTGGAGGATAAACCAATGCCAGGACACCAACTAGCGTGAGAATGGAGAAAGGAGACAGATTTTGCAAAACTCAGCAAATTCAATAATGAAGACTTAACTGAACTAACATGGCTCATCACTTCAGAGAGTAAGAGAGTAAAGGAGGAGACAGGGACAGTTAAGACAAAGGCAGTGCCATAGAAACTATGGGTTAGTAACAGAGTTAAATGGCTGTGTGATATGTGTTGAAAACATGAACCTGTATATTCAGACTCCATTGGGTTCCTATTGATTCAAATCTGTTCCATGGGATGAGCAAATTCCTGAAGTCTACCACACTCCAGCCTTTAACAGTCCAGCAGGAGGAAAATCATTTGTTTCTGCTCATTTCTGCCCCAACACTTTTACTTATGCTGCCAGTCTGTGAGTGCCTGTAAGTCCCTCAGAAAGGCTCTACTGTCCCCAATCTGAACTGATTCCACACCCAACATTGAGTATCAGCGTTCTGTTTTTCAGTCATGCAGTGATCACACAAGAACTGCGAATTTACTTGTTTGCTCACTTGTCTTTAATGGTTATATACCTCATTGGAGAATAAATCCCCAGTAAGGCAGAAATACCATTTTCCTCCAAATACGCATCCATTGCAATATGAGCACACAGTACGGACTCAATAAGTACTTCTTTTTTTTTTTGGATTTTTTTTTTTTTGTGTGTGAAAATACTGTACAGAGGGGTTACAATTACATGGGCAAGATAATGAGTACATTTCTTATCAAGCCTTGTAGCCTCCTCCTTCAATAAGTACTTCTTAAGCCAATCCACAGAGCAGTCACTTTTTCATTTACTCATAATTCTTTGGCAAAGAACCATTAATTTCAAAAACACCCTCACCAGACTGAACTCCTAGAGGCCAGATCATACTGGTTTCATCATTAGCATTCCATAGCTTTGGGCACGCCATTTAACTTACCTACATTTATTTTCTTATGCATAATGTCAGGATACTAGACTGGACAACCATATTTCCTTCCAGGGTTGGAACTAACCTACAGATGACTAAAGAACATTACCAAAGGGCTGGGAAGATGGCTCAGTGGTAGAGCGCTTGCCTTGTAAGCATGAGGCCCTGGGTTCGATTCCTCAGCACCACACAAGCAGAAAAAGCTTGTGCTGTAGCGCAAGTGGTAGAGCGCTAGTCTTTAGCTGAAGAGCTCTGGCTGTTTAACAAGGTGCACAAGTCATGGATTTCAGCTCCATCTTGTCTGTGGTAACTTTAGCATTGTACTGATCCAGTAAAATGGCAGTGCCAAACTAAATTCCAGAGGTAAAAGTAGAAGAGCCAGACTATAGCTTATAAAACATCACGTGAAATTTACCTTGATTCGAGGCATAGTAACTGTGGGTGGCTCTGCTTTAGCCACAAAACTGTGAGATGCCCCTTTCTCCATGAGGTAAGTTGTGTAAGGCATGTACTTCACACCCTTTGACCCAAACACAAAATCATCTCTCAGAGCATCTATAAGCATAATAACAGCTTTACTGAAGAGAGGTGGTGGTAGTTTGGTCCAGTTGGAACTGGTACCTAAAAGTGTTCGAAAACGGTACAATTAAAATTTAAACAAGCACTTTCATAATCTTCTGTTTCTCTAGCACATATGTGGTCACATCTATGTATCCCATCCAAAAGCCAGCCTGTTCTTGATAAGGCAGGGCTGGTAAAGGAAAAGAGTATTTGCAATGAGTAGGCTTAGATAACCCCCAATAACATGTAGTGAACTGCCCTTGGTGTGGTGAGGAGTTCTGGTATAGGGAAGTCCTTACAAAAGGGTCCTGAACTTAAAACATGGCTTTGCAGGTAGGGGGTGGACTGGCTTACAGGGTGTTTACATGGCCATTCGGTGGCCTTTGTCCAGAGACTTTATCTCACGTGTGGGGTGAGAGCCAGGAAGGTTCTAAGGCAGAATGGCCTTAACCACTGGGGATGAAAGAGGAGGGGCGTAGCCGGTGCCGGTGGCGCACGCCTGTCATCCCAGCTGCTCAGGAGGCTGAGATCTGAGGATCGCGGCTCAAAGCCAGCCCCGGCAGGAAACCCCGTGAGACTCTTATCTCCAATGAACCTCCAGAAAACCGGAAGTGGAACTGTAGCTCAATGGTGGAGCGCTCGCCTCAAGGCTGAAGAGCTGAGGGACAGCGCCCAGGCCCCGAGTTCAAGCCCCACGACCGACAAAAAAATAACAAAGTAAACGGAGGGGTTACAGAAGACGTAAGGGACGAGGCCTGTGGCGGGGCCAAAGGCCCGGCGGAGGGGGCCGGGCGCAGTGGGGCCTACGGGTGCGGGACCGGCCTCGCTTCTGGGGCGGAGACCAGAGCGGAGCCCGTCGGGGCCAGGCGGAGCGAGGCCCGGGCGGCGGGCGGCGGGGAGGGGTGCATACCGGCCGCGGGCTCGGGCGCCGGCGGCTCGAGTCCGCGCTCGGCCCTGGAGGAGCGAACCGGCGCCGGGAAGAACCCCCGGAGGAAGAGCGCGAGTCCCACCACCTCCACCGCCACGCAGCAGGCGGCGAAGGCGCCGGAGCCCACCCGCATCTCGGCTCCGAGGGCGCGGCGGCCGCGCGCCTGCGCACACCTTCCGGAGTGGCGCGGGCCGCCGGAAACGCGCTAGCGCGGCGCGGCCGGCCTTCCGCCGCCGGCTTCCGGCGGGCTCACTTCCGGCGCCTGCTCCAGGAGTGCGCTCCGGCCTGGCACCGCCTCCCACGCCGGGGCCCCGACCCACCCGGGCTGCGCCCCCCCACGCCGGGGCCCCGACCCACCCGGGCTGTGACCCCCCCACCCGGGCTGCGCCCCCCCCACCCGGGCTGCGACCCACCCGGGCTGCGCCCCCCCACGCCGGGGCCCCGACCCACCCGGGCTGCGCCCCCCCCCACCCGGGCTGCGACCCACCCGGGCTGCGACCCCCACGCCGGGGCCCCGACCCACCCGGGCTGTGACCCCCCCACCCGGGCTGCGCCCCCCCCACCCGGGCTGCGACCCCCACGCCGGGGCCCCGACCCACCCGGGCTGCGCCCCCCCACGCCGGGGCCCCGACCCACCCGGGCTGTCCCCTATGCCGGAGTCCGCGCCCCCTCTGCTGTCCTGCCCGTCCCCCACCCCTGTCCCGCACGCCGGAGGGGGGGCGGCCCCAAGCTGGGGTCCCCGCACCCTTTCTCCCCCGCTTTCCCCTTTCCGCCAGACTCCACGAGCTCGGAGCTGTGCCTGGAAAGAGAATTTCTAGTCCTGGGGCACAGCTCCCCTCCCTTGGGGAGGCCGGCGCTTTGGACTCCGGGGGCTGACTGACAGCGGTGCCTGGCCTCCTGGCGTCCGCTGGAGGCAGGGCCGCTGCCCGCAGGCCTGCCTGGCCGAGCATTCTCCTACCTTCCTGAGTCTTGACTGCTTTAGATGATGCTACATAAGTGAGATCATTTTGTTTTTGTCTTTAGGTGCCCAACCTGTTGTGCTTAGCATCTATGTTGTAAACGCAAGAGATCCTTGTTATAGTGATATGGTGTGTGTGTGTGTGAGAGAGAGAGAGCGCCCTAGCATGTTTCCATGCCTTGACCATTGTAGATAATGCTGAAATGAACATGGAGTGGTTACTGCATCCAGGTGGGAAGGTTGTAAAAGTAGGAACTGTCCACTTAGGATCCTTGACTTCGATTACAAAGTAAGAATTTTCTGGACAAGTCATAATGGTAAGAAAACTGCAGAGCTTCATTGAGTAAGCAGGCAAGCAGACATGAAACAGACAAGCAAAAAGGTAGCACACTAACAGCGTGGGTTCTTGAAGGGAGAGACCCTGGGCTCTTTGACATTAGGGGTGTTTATATGATAGCGTCTGACTTAAAGTTATGCAAAGAATAGTATTTACCTTTGTTCTTAATCACTGTTCATGTCAAACTTTTACCACGTGTGCTCAAAGTCTCCAAGGCTGACCTGTACATGACAATTATGTTTGGGCAACCCCTTTATGCCATAAACATGTTTATCCTTGAGATGAATACACCCTGCCACAAAGTGTTTATTTGTGCCAATTGGAGCCATTTTTTCCAAGTATTTGTTTCTCCAGACTATATTTCTTTTTGTTTGCTTTTTTTTTTTCCGGTAGATTGTGGGTCTTGAACTCTGGACCTGGGCACTGTCCCTGAGCTCTCTACCACTTGAGCCACAGCCCCACTTCTGGCCTTTTCTGAGTAGTTTATTGGAGATAAGAGTCTCACGGACTTTGCTGCCTGGGGTGACTTTGAACCACAGTACTCATATCCCAGTTTCCTGAGTAGGTAATTACAGGTGTGAGCCACTGACACTTAAAATACATGTCTTTTTAAAATTATATATTTCCTTCAGTTTTTAGAGCATACTAATTGGGGCCAGCAGGCAAGGTCAGATAGAGAAAGCTCCTCTTGCTCTTTTCTTTTTCCTTGTGCTAATACTAAAGCTTATGAAGGAGTACAAGGGTTAAAATAAAGAAGAGGAGCGTCTATGTTTCTAAGTACACTATTTCTAAATTCTTGGCTGCTATTCACCAGGCCTTATTTTCCCTAGTCTGTCCTGCCTCATTTTCTCCTAAAACAACTTTGGTTCTTTAATCTTAAGGGAAGTTGATGGGCGAAGATCAGTCTTCTGTATTTGCTTTAAGCTGAGTTTTTGAATTTTTGGTTGTTGTTTACCATGCTTCATTTTCTGTAACATCTCACACTTTTTGGTGGAGAGAAATCTTACCTCCTTCATTGATTTTTAATCTCTAAATATTCTTCTTTTTATTATTGTGAGTCTAAACATTATATAGTTAGTTTAAACTTATAATTTTTTAATTTTTATTTTTGTTGGTTGTGGGGCCTGAACTCTGGGCCTGGGTGTTGTCCCTCAGCTCGTCAGTTCAAGGCTAGTGCTCTACCACTTATGCCACAATGCCATTTCTGGCTTTTTCTGCTTATGTGGTGCTGAGGACTAGAATCCAGGGCCTCATGCATTCAAGGTAAGCACTCCACTACTGAGCCACCTTCCCAACCCCCTACACTTATATAATTTTAACAATAATATTACTTGCATAAAGTGGTTTTACTGTGGTATTTCCATACATGCATACAAAGTAGTTTAATCATATTCACATCCCCAGGAACTTTTCTTCCTTCCCTGATTTCTATTTTATATATTTAGTCTAGATTCCAGATATGTGAGAAAGAAAATATGTGATAATCATTTTTCTAAGTCTGGTCTGTTTCACTGATATGATGGTCTACTGTTGCAGTTTCCTGCAGAATACATAATTTTGTTTTTATTTGAATATTCTATTGTGTGTGTATATATATGCACCAAATTACCTTCATCTCCGTATCACTTGATGGGCATGTAAGATGTTTCCATGACACAGCTATTGTATAATAAGCCAGTGCACAGGTGTCTGTATTGTATGCTGACTCACCTGCCTTCAGATATAGGCCCAGTAGTGGCATGTCACTGTTATGTTGAAGCTCCATTGTTAGTTTTTTGAAGAACTTACATCGTGGCTGGGCTAATTCATATTCCCAACGACAGTGGGACTATAAAGCTTCAATTTTCCCGCTACACCCTTGCAGATATTTGATTTTTTCCTTCATGATAGCCATTCTGACTATGGCAAAGGTGGAATCTCAAAGTCATTTTGATTGTTACTTTTATGACACCCTGGAGGTTGCACGCTTCATGTTGAAGTGAAATGAGGCACTTAGAGCCCTGTCAGCCACTGCTAGGTGAACCTGTGGAACCCCCTAGAAAAAGAACAGGGTGTTGAGTGTGGGCGGCCGATTCTGAGAAATGAGCTTAGCACCTACATTTTGCTGGCGACCCTATGTTCTGGCCCTGTATATGCTTGGCTTGTATAACCTCAGGAAGTTCTAAATACTTCACTGACCCATGCCCCCCCTCCCCGTCACTCGGGGCTGCCCCTGGGTCCCCATACCTCGAGCAGCCACGCCGGTTACATTTCTTTTCGCTGCTACTAAGTCACCTCGTAAGATTCAGTCTGAGTCCCGAGACAGCCTGGGTGTCACTGAGTGCCTCCCGCCCACTAGTCTGGGTCGGTCCCGCCGAGAGGTTGGGCTGGGACCGCGGCCGGCGCCGCGTGGGGTGGGCGCCGCGCGCCCTCCCGGCCTCGCCCGGGTCGGTAGGCGGCCCCCACCGGCAGGAGCAGTGGCCGTCCAGTCCGGCCGTTTCCTGGCTGAGGAGCATCACCACCCAGTGCTGGTCCACACTGGAGTTTTCCAGCTGAGTGTCTCAGGAGGAAAGCCAGGCGGCCCTCCCCACCTGCCCGCCGGCTCCCCAGCAGCGGGCGGGCGGCGCAGCGCACTGTGGGAAATGTAGTCTTCCGTCGAGCACCCACCCGTGGGAGGGTCTTCCGGGTTCCTTCTGCGCGTGCGCTTCCCCGTCCTCAAATTCTGGATCGGGGGCTCCGGCCGCGGGGCTCTGAGGTAGGACCTGCGTTCGGGGTTGGTGGAGGCCAAGGCTCCCGCCCTGCCTCCGCAGGCCTTGGAAGCCGGGAGGCGAGTGCGTCGCCGGCCGCGGAGCCGGTGTGCAGGCGCGAACCGCGTGGCTCCCTCTGGTCCCGGGCTGGGGTTCACGGTTGCTTTGTCGGAGTCGGTGCCGCCGGGACCCCGTATGCCGAGCGCCGGGCGACCGTCCACCCTCGGGGCGGGGAGGCCCGCCCCGCGAGTGCCTGCCGGGACCGGGGGAGGGAGCGGGCCCGTCCCGCGCCGCGGAGCCCGGCGGGCAGGGCAGGTGAGCGCGCACCGCGGGCAAGTGCACGCGGAACCCCACCCCCCCGCGGGCAGGTGTGCGCCCCCCCCCCCCCCGCGGGCAAGTGCACGCTGAACCCCACCCCCCGCGGGCAGGTGTGCGCCCCCCCCCCCCGCGGGCAAGTGCACGCGGAACCCCACCCCCCGCGGGCAGGTGTGCGCCCCCCCCCCCGCGGGCAAGTGCACGCGGAACCCCCCCCCCCCGCGGGCAGGTGAGCGCCCCCCCCCCCCTCCGCGGGCAAGTGCACGCAGAACCCCCCCCCCCCCCGCGGGCAGGTGCGTGCTCCCCCTCCCCGCGGGCAGGTGCGTGCTCCCACCCCCCCCACCCCGCGGGCAGGTGCGTGCTCCCACCCCCCCACCCCGCGGGCAGGTGCGTGCTCCCCTCCACCCCGCGGGCAGGTGCGTGTTCCCCTCCACCCCGCGGGCAGGTGCGTGTTCCCCTCCACCCCGCGGGCAGGTGCGTGTTCCCCTCCACCCCGTGGGCAGGTGCGCTGCCCTCCCAGCAAGCAGGTGCGTCCCTCCCCCCTCCGCGGACAGGTGCTCCCCCCCCCCCGCAGGTGCGCGCATCCCCCCTCCCGCGGGCAGGTGCGCTCCCCACAAGCAGGTTCGTGTTTCCCCCCCCCCACCCCGCAGGCAGGTGCGCGCGTCTTCCCCTCCTGCGGGCAGGTGCACCCCCCCCCCACCCCCCCCCCCCGTGGGCAGGTACGTGTTCCCCCCCTCAGGCAGGTGCACCCCCCCGCGAGCAGGTGCGTGATCCTCCCCCCCCCCCTCCCGCGGGCAGGTGCGCGCGCTGGCCCGGGCTGGGCTCCT